ACTCTTTCAGCACCTATTAAAAAAAATCAGAGTGAAACAAGTTGTGAACGTATTTTCTAGCTGTGAACACATATAACCAAAAGAAGTACTGTACATCAGAGTAGCAAAAATAAACACTAGGCTTTGATTTAGTAAAATAGTTTTCCACCCTTGCTGACCTTTCCACAGAGCTATTGCTGAGGTCAATCAAAGTTCAGCTCAACATATGGAATAAGGGTTACTGTAGCCTTGAAATATTGCAGTTATGCATATATAAGTGAGGAAATGCCCTACTGCTAATAAAGACAAAAAAAAAAACCCAAAAAAACAAAAACCCCCAAACCTCCCCAAATATTTCCCTTGCTCTGGGCCAATCTTATACTTTATTGATTAAAACAACACAAGACTTGGCCTTCCTCAATGATACAGACAATTAAAGTACTAGCTGAAATCTTTGTTTTCCACTGGAAACTGAAAGTAACAAGGTTGATAGCTGGAACAGAGGTAAAAATTTGAGAAAAGGTCCTCATTGTACAACAGAGGTGCTGTAGGCCAGTTGTCCTTTCTTGTACCAACACAATTTTCCAGTTGTTAAAATTGTCTCACAAACAGGATGTGGTATATACAACTATCTACTGAATAATTATTTTTCAGATAAACATATATGTACACTCGTGTACCTCTGATTCAGTGAAACTATTGCATTTGTGTAAAAGACATTTCAACACAGAAACGGGGCATAAAGTGACCCATTCTTCTGTTAATTTTTTGAGGATTAGCAGTTTCAGCAAGTTGATACCTATCACTCTGGCAAAATACTGCAGGTGGGTGGCTGAATAAATTGTTAGTAGTAATAAATAATAATAGTTAGATAATAATAGTTAGACTACAAAAATACTTCAGATGTGTCAGCTTCAGTAAGAAGTCCTGCAGTAGACAGAGATGTACCCTAGACCCCTCCAGCTTACAAGTCCCTTGCTTCTGAAAGAAGCTATATTTCCTCTGGGACTGTGTATTACAATAAATTTTCCTTTACTAAGTACTGCTAATTCTTCTTTTCCAAGGATGTCACGAATTTCATAAATTCACAAAGCAGGTAGTATAGTGCCTTGTTCTAATTTGCTGGGTGCTGCCAATGACATGAAATTTCAAAAGCATGATATGTTTTGCCTTAGATAATTATTCTCCAGCTCACTTCTAATCAGTTCCTAACTCATTTTAATTTTCCTTGATATGTAATTTAATACAGTTCATGTATTCTAACAAAAACATAGTTATGGGAATTCATACTCAGCTGACAGAGAAAGAGCCAAAAAAGTTGAAAACAGTTCTGGTTTAACACAAACTTTTTGGTTCGGAAGAGTCATTGTTATGTTATGATTAGATGGAGAATGTGGAATAGAATTAAAGAATTCGTGTGGAATTAATACATAGGAAAGCACTCTCATGCATGTTATAGGACTCCTCAATATTTGGAGAGCAGCTAGCAGACAGACTTTGCCCAGTCATCTGAAACAGACTCCTCCAAAAGTAGGTGCAGTATTTAGCAACAAGATATTCCAAACACAGTTTTACCCCAAGTTCCTTTTTCCTAGCCACGGTCTGGAGCAGCCTGAGGAGATGGTGTTGTTCAGCTTGATCCAGCTGAGCCATCAGTGCCACCAGCTCCCTCAGATGGAGGGCTATCGGCTGCGGTTGCTTCTCATACAGAGCAGGCAGGACACGCAGAAGCATTGAATTCCCTGAGAACAGAGCAAACGAGAAACCAGTGACTTGCTGTCAAGTCAATACCCTGCCCCTGGAGAGCATCCTGGAAAACCAGCACACACCTGGAGGTACCAGTTTTGAAAGAATCATCTGTACAAAACCAGGGACACACAAAACACAGCAGAAAAACATACCCTGGGCCAAGAAGCTTGATAAATAACATAAAAAAAATTAATCATTGCAGGTATAACAACATGGGTTAAAAAAATAGAGAAAAGAAAATCCTATTAATTACAATTTCCATTCTCCAGTATGATATCATGAGAAGGCTGCTTAAGGAGCTTTCAGGTTTGGATGATACTCTGTTGAGTTCTAGACTAAACTGTGATTTAAATTAACAAAACAAAGAAAAAAGAAAGGAAAAAAAAGAAAAAAATGCTAGAAAGCACATAAAAGCCATATTTCTCCTTTGTTGAGATTCAGACTTTCAAATTAAATAAGCAGAATGTGGAAAGAATAGTTGGTTATTAAGAGAACTAAATATGCATGACAGTAAATTTGAACACAAATAGTTAAGGGTGCTTTTTCCAGGAATAGAAAGGAGCCAGGGAGAGTCAACTGCAGACAGACAAAGATATGCAAAACCCTCTGTCACACATTTTCTTAAGACGTCTGTGCATAATTTAAATTGAAGCCCAGGCTCATACCAAAATATATAACTTCACATTGCTGTACATGCCTGCCTCAATATACTTAAGTTTCACTTGAGCAACATATGGAAAACATCTGCCTGTTGCAATGCCGTATGGCTCCTTTTTATAAACCCTTGAAAGTCCTTAAGGTCTCCTTGGATTTGGTTTCCAATAGGAACTAGCTCTCTGGCCTGCTGCTTTTTCTCCCATTTAAATCTTAAAATTTTGGAAGATCCTGCTGCTTTTTCTCCCATTTAAATCTTACAATTTTGGAAGATAAGCAGGTCACTTCATGGATGGTAGAAAAAGGATATAGGGGCTCAGACTGGACCACTTCATATCAGATACAGAAAATGAACCCCAAGACACTGTTAGGTCTTGCAACACCACCTCTGAGGCAAGTAACTAACATATAATTCATTGCAGGTTCAGACAGCTTTTAGTCAAAGAGCTTGTAATGATCCCTAAGGGGTCCTTAGGCTTCAGAGGAGTGCCTCCACACTATTCAGCCAGCCACACTTCTGCATCCTATCTATCCTGAAGCATTTTTGCTGTTTGAAGAATCACTGGCTTCTCCTTGAAGGCAACTCTGAGCCTTCCATACAGCTGCTGCAGCACTAAAGGCAAGGTTCAGACCCCACCTATAGTCCCATGGACACGGTGAATTTCTGTCTTACTCTGTTCTACAAATAAAGCACAAAGGCCCATTGCAAAGGAAAGAGATTTGCTGGTGAATTACTTAAACAGATTAGCAAACTCTTCAGTTCTGGCCATTTTCTAGCCACATTCTTTGTGTAAATCTCTTGCTGATGTTACAAGTCAATCTGTATTAAAAAATGTCACATCTTTCATGAGCGTGACTACCATACTGCGGGATTCCTGCAAACCACCAATTCATTCACTATTAGAACTACAATTGTGAGAGGATGTATTTACTTTAACTTTTCTGAGTTTGAAACTGAAAGCTTTTGTAACCAAATGCACAAAAAATTTTCTTCTCCAGCTAATTTAGTGTGTACAGAAATAAGTCCTTTGCACTTGCACACATTTCGTTTCCACTGGAACTTTTCTGCCCATCTGGAGCACAGCCCTTAATCTCCAGCTGAATTTTAGCAATAGTAACAATTGCAAAAGATGAAATTCGCATGTTCCCTGGACAGGCAAAATACATCTCAGCTGAAAAAAGTGTAGAGAGAACAAATTCAGGTGAGAGTAACAAAACCTAGCAGTTTTAAACAAGGAAAGACGTCCACTAACCTGAGACATGCTGTTGCCTAAACTGGGATGTCACAGATCAGAAGGTATCTGGAAAGTAAGGCTAATTATTCAGTCTGAGAAAACAAGCATTTGAAGTGTTGGATGTATTTGAGGACTGATGCAATCTTACATGACACAACATGACAGATTGCATCCATGAAACTTCTCTGAACAATTTGCACAAATGCAGATTGGGGCAGTTTCCTACAGCAAACACTGCTGGGTTTATATTCACTAACCAAGAGAAATGAACAGCAAAGACAGTTTAGAAGCAAGTCCACAACTTCGGAGTGACATTTAAGCGACCTCACTGACATGGAATTGCTTTTAATTGAATAACCTGTGTATACAAACTTGTAAACAATCCAAGCAGATACCACACTTTCTAGCTGTTCCTCATATAACTTAAGTAAGGTCAGGAAGCACAACCTAATTTGCTATTTTCTTGTATTTTCATGCTTCAAGTTGGCTCAGAGTACCTCTTGCCATCTGTTTGTCACACCTTTTCAGTTTCTAAGAGGATTACGCACATGTAGCTCACCAACCTTTTGATCTCAGAGCTTGGTCAGGCAGAGGCAATACTGCACCCGTTCCCAAGTAATTAACTTTTTTCCAATCTTGCTTCATCTGTCTAAACTAAGAGTCTGAAAAGTATGTTTGTTGTCTGAGAATGGGAAAACATTATAGTCAACTCCTTAATTACCTTCTTTCCCTTTTCCTTCCTCACCCCCAGTACTTTCCAGATTAGATTTTCTCAGACTTTCCAAGCAGACCACACACTGGGAATTACGCAATTCAGGCAGAAACTAATGTACAGTTTCGGACACTTGATGGCTTTGCACCGCAGGCTGCAAGTCAGGTAGGGAGGAGACACGTACGGCAGGAGCAACCACAACTGCGTGCTGCAATGGTGCCAGCCCACCCCAGCTGCGCCAGGACCATGGCCTGGGTGCACTTTGGCCATGCTCCCTGCACATATGAATTGCAAATGTTGCCTTCTGCTCTGCCCGTGCTCTGCCCAGCCCAGCAGCACAGAGAGCTTATAAAAAGCGACGACACTGGTAGCACACTGCAAACATAACGCGGGCATGAGGAGCTATACAGCGGTAGTTTGACATTCACTCCAAATGGAGTATTCAAAGATAAAAGCCCACGCACCAAGACTTATTTTTACTTTTTCTCCTGAAGCACTCAAGCTAGGCACATATATCCCCAAAAACATTCATGTCTGTTTTTCCAAACGTTTGAGGTTTCTAATATGTTGTGTCAACATTCCTATTTATTGAGTTTGCAGGAGACCAGCTGGAGGCCCCACAATAGCAGAAATCCCATACATGCATAGGGTGAAACAGTCTGATGTTGTGGCATGCAGGAATAGCATGGTACTGTGGCCCACAGTCCAATGTGCAGGTAGCTGAGGTTTGCAGAAGCAAGGCTGTATGCTGGGAGGCATCCCCTGCAACAGCGCCAGACTCTCAGCTGCCTTCTGCAGCCACTAGAGCAGTGGGCTGCCTCGGAATGTGTGGAGCGAGTCTGAAGGAGCTGGGGAGCAGGCAGCTTTGGCCCTACCAGCCTTCTCAGCAAAAAGTGACACCTGCAAAGTGCCTCCTAGCCCCTCTGCAGGAGGGGCAATGGTTGAGGCCACACACACCACCTCTGCTGCCTCATGCAGCCATACCTCCCACTTGTGGCCCAGATATCCGCGGCAGAATGAGCAAGAAGAGAAGCACAGGGCCCTCTTCACACACTGTGTGTACAGCGATAAGGGGCTAAACCAGAGACTCAAATGGAAAGGCAACACAGACTGCAAATGAGATGGAATTATGTGGGGGGTTTTGTTGTTTTTTTTTTTGCTGTTGTCTGACTATTTCATAGTCCATATAGGACTTGTACCATGTTACCCCTTATCTTACCTAAGCAATGCACCTCTAAAATAATTAATGGCCCCTGGAACTACAAAGCTTTCCAGAATTTACAACAGAATTTACAGCAGATTAACACCAATAACAACAATATTTAGCACTAGATTAACGTCTAATCTAAGAGTGCTTTGGTTTCCAACTTTTTTCAGAGTTAACAGAAACAACCCTTAATCATGCAGCTGCTAATCTACACATTCCCAAAACAAAATACTAGCAATGGCGTATCACCCACATAGTTATGATGTTGTTATTGGTAATTAGGGCTAGAAAAGCAAAGCGCTAACAGGCTGTCTTTATGAGTTCTCCTTCACTGCTTAAAAAGTAAACTGCTAGTATGTAATATCGAAAAAATAAAGCTAAATATTTAGCTAAACCATACACGTGTATCCAAACCAACTCCAGGTATGTTTATTTTTCTACCAATCCCCTCCGGATTGGTAGAAATGGCACATACCAACTACAAAATGAGTTTGCGCAGAACATTTTCCTTTTCGCAAATAGCACAAAAATAACATAACCGACGCAGCCAGTGCTTGTAGGCAGCAAACTCCAAGTGATTTCATCCCCCACGCTCACCCTCACATTGTTGCACGTAACAGCAATCTGTTCTCAGAGGGGAAGTGGCGGTTAACAAGAGCAGCTTTCCCCGTTTCTTCCCCTCTGGAGTCAGTACATCTCCCCCCAGTGCAAACCTGAAAGGCTGGAATTGAGCAAGCTGCACGCCCCCTTCTCCTCTCAGCCAAAACCAACAGTCAGAAGTGCTCTTATTACAACACTGGCACTAGCACTGCTCATTCATTCAAGCCGAGGCACTTCGAGTGTTTGCTAAGGGGCTCACTGTGTCTCACTAGCAGTCTTGTCTCTGCTGAAGTCTGACTTGGACTCGAGCTCCAGACAGCACAGCTATTTTCAGGAAGCAGCTAGACAATGCTGCCCCAAGAAATACTTTTTCTGCTTACCCTGTTCTGTGTTTTCAGGGCTTCTGTTTCTGTTCTGGATGAAGATGATGACTATGATCTCATGTACGTGAACCTGGATAATGAAATTGACGGTCCAGTTCTTGGTACTGAGGAAAGTAAGTGGATTTAAACTAAATTTGTGTTAAGTGCAGAACTGCATTATTTGTTGCCTAGCTCTTGTAGCAATTATTGTTACAAATGTACTTTTTTTCCCCAAAAGGAAGAAGCGTGTGTTTGTACCAGTAGATTGGTATGGACAGCAAATGCTAAAGCACTTGGACAGTGTGCCTTGGAATTTTCTTTACAGTCTTTATTTTTCAGTTTGCCTGCAAAAGATTGCCAATGACACTTGCCTTTAGAATTACTATGATATATACTCCTTTACTTTTCTGTTTCGACGTAGAGGGAAATACACTGACAGTCTGGAGCACATAAGCCTTGCATGGAGCCAGATGTTGTCAAATACTCCTGTTTAAAAATGTAAGTACAAAGCTACAGCAATATGTGTATCTTCCATTCCAGCTGTTTCATGTGATTGCCAGCAAGAACACACCAAGTGGGACAAGCTCTTCATCATGCTTGAGAACTCGCAGATGAAAGAGAACATGATGCTGCAGGCGATGGATGAGATCCTGAAGGTGGACCTGAAGACCCTGAAAGCAGAGCTGAGCCAACTCACCACCAACCTTGCGGGCACCCTGGCAGCCGCAGTTGAGAAAGTCACCTCCCACATTGTGTCACAGGTAGAGCAGGCACTTGTGAGGAACAGTGACCCAGCTGGAGAAGCCAAGAGGCTTCATGAGTCTGAGCAAGGAAAGCTTCTTGAGCACATTCTGCTGCTTGGTCACAATGTGTCCAGCAGACTCGGCTGGCTGGAGAGCACTTGGCTAAGGAGGTGTGAGGCAGAGGCTCAAGAAACAGCTTTTCATCAGGATAAATTCGGTCCCTCCAGAGGAGATGATTCCATTTTGAATTCCCTGTGGAAAGAGCTACAGCAAACCAGAACGGAACTGAAAGCATCACAGAAATGGGCAGCTCAGCACTTACTACCAGCAGGTAAGTCCACATGTGCTATGCTTTACTGGAGAGCTCTCTTTGGGGGCCGTGTCTGAACATACAACCTATAAACACCCCTTTTAAGCATCTTCCTCTGCATATGTCTCCAAAGTAAAATTATGAAGAGTACAGCAGCTTTGGGCAGTCTGCATATATAGGGAGAAAAACTATTAACTCTTCTTTAAAAAGAGGTGCTGAGATTTTCAGATGTGGGATCAAAGAAGGGTTTGATCCAGGAAGACTCCCACCTCTGCAGGCTGTCCCAGATCAAAATGGTTGCCAGAGCACAACAAATGTATTTCAAACATATAAATTATATTCTCTCACCTTTTACCTTTCCAGCTGGTAACTCCTTCATTTATGCAGTAGTCACTGAGCTCTCCTGTTCTCTTCATGCATGTACCCACTCCTTCCTTTTCCTAAACTAAACATTGTTTCCTCACCAACTCTAACTGCCCAGCAGTAGAGTGAGATCTGAGGACACTCCGCTGATGTCAACCAACTAAGCACGCTTCCCGCAGCAGGGAGGGCACATTCGTTGATGCAACTGTCAGGACAGAACATTTCCTCAAGCATGGAAATATTAATAACACTGTGGTATTGTTCGGTTTTTGTTTCCCCTTCCAAAATGTTTGCATTAGTCAGCAGGCGAGGTGGCCATAGAAAGATGAGCTCATATCTGAAATTTCATGTCAATTTTTCTGTGCAGTGTAACATTATGCCCAAAAAGCAGCTACAGCTACTTGGGTATGGCAGAGCAGCCCCCATTATTTAAAGTGTGGGTGCAAAATTGCTACATGCCCAAAATAACCACACTGATCATAACTCTACCTACCAGACAGTTATCACTCTCATAAATCTTGACATGCCTTAATGACTGTATTTTCCACAAATGTAAGTTACTGCAGCTTAAAAAAGTTACTGCAGCTTAAAAACCCCCAGAAATTCACACTCGCAGAATCCCACAGTGTGTGTGTGAATACAAAGTTGGCATGAAGTTACACCAGCCTCACTACCAACCCTTAACAGCACCACCAGCATGAGCTCCTACGCGGGTGAGGTAGGAGAGCTTCTGGTAACTGCTAAAGCAAAGGCAACAACTTACACAAGCCTCTTACAGTACATACTCAACATAACAATAGCTTACATCAAAGTGTTTAACAATCTAATATGAATCTATATGTTCATGTAGGGCATGAATTCAGCTTTGTAAGTAAATTACTTTTGCTCCTTTATTTGTCATAACACTTTAGTAATGTTTGCATTACAGCAATACTGGGGGTAGACCTTACAGCATGTTCCTTTCCTCCCCAAACACATCTTCTCTTCCAGAAAGCATGATCTCATTCTTTATCTCTCTCCTGTAACACAGCCAGCCTCGCAACAAATTACTCTGCTAGGTGAGAGTAACAAACTTAATCAGCATTAACAGTCCAGTCTCACCAGTGGAAATCCAGATTATTTCCATTGATTCCAACATAGTTTTATATAAAACGTTCATATTTTTTAATTTAAAGGGTATATTTTAAGTACTTCCAGAGTGTCTCTCTGGAATTTTTTTTTTCAAGGGAATTTTTAGCAACTGACTTTAATTTCTCACATCTTGAATTACTGCCAGCCACACTCTTGAGAGATTTTCTAATCACACTTTTTGGTCTTCAGTGAGGCTGTTTTTAATTTTATTTAGGCCTTGATAATAAAGCCTGAAAGCTTGCTAATTAAAAGCTTTTCCACAATAGCGTTCTTAAGTAACATTTTAAGGAGTATCCAACAGTTGCTCACTGACTCTGCCCCTCCCCAAAAAAGCCAATGAACAAACATAAAATCTGCTCAAAATTTAAGGGAAGGAGGCTGCAAAATAACACAGCAGCACAATCGTGGAGAACACAAAAAGTCCTTCATTCACTGAAGCAGAAGTTTCCACACACATTTTAGATCTTCTAGCTTGTTTAAATAAGAAGCAGACCAGCCTAATTGTAGCACGGGGCTGCTTCCCGTCCCCACCCCCACCACATCACCTAGACTATGAAGCATATATAGACTATACAGCTAGGGAACAGTACACAGAATACCAAAAATGGCTTGGATTTAGTTATCATCATTTACTTTTCCAAGTTTAATTAATTTTTCTTACTGCTTTTAACTAGTTTCTATTATCAACATGTTGATTAGTTGGAGATGAGAGCTGAACTGTTTCAAGAATCAGTCATTTTCTACATTTCCTATGCTTAACCGGTGCATACAGAAGTCACTGACCAATAGCCCTAAAGGCAGAGTCAGGAATGGGAATCATTACAATAAACACACATCTCAGCATGCTCCTGCCAATGTTCCTTGTGCCTGCTCTTCAGTAGCCCCTGTTGCCTTCCCCTCTGCTGCCCAGTTATCCATGGGACATCCACAGGACAGAGCTGTGGATGCTGCTTGAGACACAACTATCCAGCTGTTCCGCTTCTCCAGCTGCAGCAGCAGTCTCACGCTGCTATCCCATGAATGGCGCAATATCTAAACCTGATGTCTGATAGACCACTGAACCCATCCCCACACTGTAATGCTGTTTTTTATCACTCTGTACTGAAAAATAACATGGAGGCTGAACCAAGACCTAAATGAAACAGAAAGAACTACCCAACATAATTACCCAATGTAAATTGCTAATTTCTCTAGGTGATCCAGCAAAAGAGCAGCTCTCTTAAGAAGCATGTCAGAGCAGAAGGCACCTTCCTCACACAGACCTTCAGGGTAGCCCAACTTCTCCAGGGAAAGACCAGGGCAGTTAGGCAGTATTAAACATAAATGATACTTTGCACAGCCCGGCACTATAGAAGACACTATTTTTGCAATGAAGTAAGAGCTAAGCCTTGTTTCTGCAGCCTGATTAGCCCCTAGACCTGTTGCTATAGTGTTGGATCTGACAGCTTCTTCAAAGTATCCTTCAGGATCTCTACATCCTGCTGGATAAGTTGAGCTCTCAGCCCCCTTTGAAAAGCCCGGAAATGAGCATATGTCAAGGGTCCTATCTCTATGTGTACAAATAGACTAGTTTTTATTTACCTAACAATCTTCCTAACTTTTTCAGGGTGTGAAACAGCAATTCTATTCCCCATGCGTTCAAAAAAAATATTTGGAAGTGTTCACCCAACTGCTGGAATGACACTACGCTCCTTTACTGCTTGTATCTGGATCAAGGTGACTGAGGCTTTGAACAAAACTATTGTCTTCTCCTACGGAACCAAGTTAAATCCATATGAAATCCAACTTTATCTCAGCCAGGAGTCTGCAGTGCTTGTTGTTGGTGGTGACCAGCACAAGTTAGTTGTCAAAAATGTAGTTGTTCCTGGGAAGTGGATTCATCTCTGTGGCACCTGGAGCTCGGCGAATGGATCTGCATCCCTGTGGCTGAATGGAGAGCTTACAGCCACTGCCTCGGACATTGCCAATGCTCATACCATTCCAAATGGAGGGATTTTGCAGATTGGTCAGGAAAAGAATGGCTGCTGTGTTGGAGGTGGATTTGATGAAGCTTTAGCTTTCTCTGGAAAATTAACTGGCTTTAACATGTGGGACAGAATGCTCAGCGCCAAAGAGATAGCAGCACTGAGAGGAGAAGATGCATGCAGTATGAGGGGCAACATCATCGGGTGGGGAGTCACTGAAGTTTTGCTATATGGAGGAGCCCAGTACATTTCTTAAATTCTGGCAAGGCAGTTTCTGAAGCAGAGAACGTATTTCATGAAGAGCTGAACACCAATCCATGCAAGTAAACATGCAGAAGTTCATGTTGGTCCAATTCCCAAGGAAGATTAGCATTGCAAGTTTACAAAAGGAGGTACTGTAGAAACGGGATTTGATCTGTGCCTGCTGTTTTGGCAAAACACTGAAAAAACAATACATCAAGGCATGACATTGGAAAAGCTGTTCCTGAGGTCACATGACTGCTGTCTCTCTAGCACAATGTTTTCTGATGTATAAAAGTGCCACTGTGGACATTTTGGAGCCAAATGGTACATCTGGCATCCCTGCCAAGGCAAACCTCTCCAGCTGACCAGTCTTGACAGAAGGCTGCACACCTTCCAAGCTCCTCCAGTCACTGGGGTTTATAGTACTAATGTGAATTGTACAGAGGAACCACATAAACCGAGAAATACTTTTGTTAATCATTGTTAGCAATTTGTAGACTGTAAAAAAACTAGCTCATTGTTTAAAACAGTATTTATGCCACAGATTGACCTAACATATAAAAGTAATATTTCCCATCTTAATCTGATCATCACATTTGGAGAAAATGCAGCTGTATTATATTGTAAATTGACTTTTTGATAATTTTATTGAGATTATTTTTGTAAAGTTGTTCTGTAAATAAAGGTACTTTACTATCCTAAAACTTTCCATGGTTCTTGTGAACTGAAGTTCTGAAACTAAGTAAGTATAAATTGGGAATTTTTCCATATTTTGTACCATGCAGTTTTAGCTGTCAATAGAAACATAAACATCTCATACAAAGGGAGAGACCTTCAGAGGACCGAAATCCAAGCATTAGCCAGAGACAGCTTTAAAGGCCTATTGTGTTAACAATCCCTCTTGTGAATGCTGCCACGTGCAAGGATCTGCCACTCTAGTTCTCCCATGTGGACACGGCCACTTGTATGGAAGAGTTGTTTTGACAACCCGAATCGTGTGTGTTGGAGGCTGAAGGAAGGATTAGTTTTTACCAAATAAAAAGAGTCAGTCGACACCATACGCATAATGCCGGCCATCTGAGGAGGACATACCGCTTCTAAGATACATTTAGATATCCAAAGTAACCAACTTGTTTGGTGTTAACAGGAAGTTTGTACAAGGCTGACTGATGAATATTTGGTGGCAGCAGCTTTCTTCTCTCACATTCACAAGCTTATCCAAAACCCAATAAAACTACAGTGCATAAGAAGCAGATGCAGAGAGACAAGATACTGGTGGTGATTTGTGTGCAGAGAACAGAGCAGAAGTAGAAATGATGAACAGCTGTTCACTGGATATGTTATAATTTATGACAAGAGCAATTATTCGCTACCTGTTGAAGCCTCTGAACAATTTATTGTGGAGAATGTCTTATTCAAAGCAATTCTTATTTCCACTGGAAGCAGCCCACCCTTCTGCTGTATTCGCATGTTTCTCTTTCTCATTCTCTACAGATGTCCTAAGAATGCAGTTTGAAAAGTTTCTTGACATGTTGCTGCTATGCTTATTCCTAAATATGACACAGCTACCAGATCCTTCCTCTACAATACAAAAGTAGTAAAAAAAAGCAATGTCAAGTTAATTTCCGCTTTACTATGCCATTCAAGGGGGCTGTGCTTCATACCTAAAGTTGTATGACCGGCTCCAAAGTTTTGGCAACACTGTTTATTTAAGATAACTGCTCCAATTGCTGGAATTTCTCCTATTAACCTGCAATAAAAATGTACCTAACTTATAAATGCTTAATATGACAAAACAATCTCTTACTAAGTTGTAGCTGTAAACAACCTTAACTACAGAACAATGAAAGAATACCTGCGTTCATCTGATTCCAGCCAGAAAACAGATTTTCAGTTATGAAAAACACTTGATGTCCCAACATTGTGCAAGGGCAATACCACTCTCAAATCTTGTTTCCATACAGTCCCCTCCATTAAATGAAAACAAATACCCATGAAACAAAGCATAAAAAACAAAATCCTCAAAAAGATTACCCTAAGTCCTTCCTGGTTACTTTTCTTACTGTACCTGCAATGCTCTGTCTTGGAAGTAGCTTTTTCCTATCTAGGTTTTGCTTTGGTAAATGACCAAATGCAAAGCCAGTCCTTTCACTCTCACTGACTCATCTGGAAAACTCTCTTCATCCCAACTGTTTTGCTATTCTTTATCACCTCTGTGGACTAGGAAAGCTTTCCCACAGTCTACTCCCTCTTGCCCAGAACTACAACTCACCTCCATCAGCATCCACCTCCATCTTTCCTTCCCAGCCTAACTATATTTTAATTTATCAATAGTTATTTTGCCTGTTTGGAAAACACTGAGCAAATAGTATTTTGAGGGAGTTTGGTCTCCAAACATGAAAAAGCCACTGCAACCCTGCTCTTTCACTGCAAATGTAGAAATGAAGGAGCAAGCACAAGACAAGCATGCCTGGGATATGCTGCTGAGACCAGTTTTGCTCTCTAACAAGCCTCTGCTGAATGCAACGTCCACATTCCTTGCCTGAGCTCCTCTAAAAGATGGAGCAGCTGTGGAAGTCTCAGATTACAGCGATGACTGCAGGGTAGGTTTGCTGCTGTCCTCTTGAATCGGGAATAAATCTGCCTGACCCCTTATGCTGATGGAAGGTCTCAGCACAGGGCCTGTCAGCATCGAGAGCATGGTACAGATGCTTGCATGTTTAGAAGCTGAGTTTGCACTAACCACGAGAGAGCAGGTAAACACTCCTTCTGAAGAGCTCTTTTTTAGCTAATAAGAAACTAATTATACAGCCAAACAGTTGCTCCAAGTAAATGAAAAAATCCAGTTAGCTCTCAAATGCTTCCAGGCAATGGGCCAAAGTCTACTATCAGTCTCGCTGGTGCCATTAGGCTGAGCCCTGTCTGTGCAGCACCAGAACAGGACTCTTGTCTCCACGCTGCCTTATAAATTCAGCCTTAGCAGCTTATCCTCTTGCTTTCCTTCTCCCTTCAGAAAACACTCGGTCTTTAAGTGCAGTTCTTAGCCTGCTGCAAACCAAACTTTTCATGCCTGAAATACAAATTATGTATAGTGCAAATAAGCCATTACGAAAAACAAAGCACTTTGAATAGTCAAAGTGCCCTCTTCCCTTCTGGAATTTCCAAACCTGATGTCCACAGCAACACCTGCTGGTAAAATAACATTAATACACAAAACCAAGCAGGCAGAGCCATGATGAAACCTTCAGTTTTGGGTAGGTATCACTTTTCTCAAACCTATGACTATACCAAAAAACCTGGTTTACTCTATTCATAGCACTGAGTTACAAGTGGTAATGCACAATGTTAACACGTAAATACTAATATCATGAGTCTTAAAAGAGTTATCCATGTGGCTTTGTAAGTTGTTAGCAATATTCTGCTCTTGGACTCTAGTTGATAAGTATTATCGCATAGCCCGTACATGTTTATCATGTTTATCACACATTTGTCCTTAAACAAAGCAGCAGAAATATGAAAACTCTTACCATAATGTCTTCAGGACAAAATTACTCTCTAGCTTAACTGTCCCCCCATAATACACTCAATTTATGTTTTTTTAATAGATACATAATGCACACATTTAATTTGAGGACTTAACATGTTCATAACAATGTTCTTGGAATAACTAAAGAGCTATTACCTGTACTTGAAGAAAAACAGTGATTTTACTATCACAGTAGCACTGTATTGCAGCAAATACCATAAACTTTACTACTTCAACTAAATTGGACCTCCTTTTATAGAGGTATCAATATTTTTGGCTTTCTAAACCACAAAGGTAAAATGTACAGAGCTTAGCAACAATATTCCGTGTAAAGCTAGGAATGAAGGCAAAATTAAAGAACCACTACAATCCTTTTTTATCTTACATCTGACTATTTTGCCACAGAATGGGATTAATTTCATCCCCATTTATAATTTGGAGTATTACTAATGACACTGAAAGAAAGGATAAGAGCCTGGTAACTAGTGTCTCACATCATGGCTTATAATTTGTAGTCCGTTAGTATGGTATACCAACAAGTACAGATGTGTTTCCTGCTCTGTGGGTCATCCAATCCATAGTGAAACATCCATATTCAACAAGGTTCAGTAAATTCACATATTCTTGAAAGGTATTCTTTGATATAGCCTGGTTTTAGAATGTGTCTTAGATGTTTATAGATATATTCATATGTCTACTTTATACATACATGTCTCATACATGTTTTTCCATGTAGCGTGTTAAATTTTACGTATGCCTAACTAAGCTAATGGCGGGCATGCTGCAGGACTAAAACCAAAATCTCAGTGTGTTCATACCTTGAAGGACACTGTTGACAATGGGGTCAGTGTGATCAGCCAGCAGATCTGCTTTAGCGATTGCAGCCAAGGATAGATAACTTGACATGTTTCTGCACAACTCCTTATTGCCCCTCTGAAGAAACTTCACTGCCACTGGAACAGCTAAGGCCATTATTGGAGGTTGGTTGTAATTCTGTAAAGACACAGAAAAGCACTGAAAAATAAAGGAGCTGTAAAAATAATTACAATAAAGTCTTACGCTGATCAGAGTAGAAAAACAAAAGTCAAAACAACAGGGAAAAAAAGGAAAAAAAATCAAGAAAGGTTACGTTTTGGTAACACTACTGAAGGCATATTTCAAAGAAAAAGCAAGTCAAGGAATATAAAACTACTGCACCAGGAAATGCTAATGATGCACCTATTTTTGACATCTGCAAGAGAAAGGGAAAATATGAAGTGTACTACTTAAGTGTTAATTGCTGCAGCATTTCTAACAAGACATTTTGCGTTTGGTGCTCTCAGAGAAGACAGCATAAGCTGTATCCATCATCCACACAGAGTAGGTCATTTTCATCCCAAAGCATAGCAAATACCTTGGAACAGTCACTCATGCTGGTGACTGTTAAATATTGCTCCCTGCATAGGAGAGGCATTGCTGCCATTTGTTCCTGCGCCACAGTGTTCTGCCACACTCCCATGTCCAGCCTGAAGTGCAGGCTCAAGGCTCAGGGAAACAATTTCAAGCATGGGTGAATCTTCCCCAATGCAAGTCACAGCTTCCCTCCTCTAAAGTTAAGTGTTTAAGTGATGTAGTGATGTTTACTACTACTCTGAGTTTCTGCCTATCTTTGTGCTGGCAGAGACTACATGAAGAAAGGACTCCTCTGTTCCCAGAACATGATCTCATGATAAGCCACTGGACTAAACCAAAGGCAAACTGGTCAAATGAGGAAAAAGAGTATGCATGAGTAAGTGTACTGGGAGACTTGCTTTCAGGGTTATAGCGTTAGTATTGATCATCCCCTTTCCTGTAATAATTAAGACTTCATTTTTTAAACTCCAGACAATTTCTCCGAACAGCAGCGTAAACTGAAATTTTTCAGGACTGCTGTTTCTGTTCTCAAAATGGCACCAAGCTTCAGCAAACTCAGGGGTATCTGCACATACACTTGGGGACTGACATTAAGGTGAGAAAAGGTTTTCTGCAACTATTTGTATACATGAAATTGTGTGACAGATTGTACACATCTATTATCCATTAAGTTCCCATACATAACTGCCCTTGAAACTAACATGGTGTGTTTATGTGTAACTGAGGACCTATATTCTCTCTGGACCCTCCTTAATCAGTGCTATTCTCTGCTCTTCCCTCAGATTTGGACATGTCTTTGAAACTGGAGTACAGCACTGTTTCTGAAAATAATCCTGCAATATGATTATATTTAATCAGCATGTGGAATCACAGGCAGCCACTGGAATCCAGATGTTTCAGAAAGCAACAAAATAGTGCAAAGAAAGGCAGTACAGACTTAACACATGCTCATTCTGGAGCAGCGCTGAAAATACAAATTTGTACCTGAGAAAAACCAAATCTGTCATTCCATATACGATGCTACATTGCCTCCTAGGCCAGTTCTGCCTCCATCAGCAGTAACTGCCTTTGCCATCAGCCTTGCAGAGAGCAGGACTCACCCTAATTAAGGCTGCATTATGCTACTCAACTAGTGCAAAAGAGCCAAGTTTAAGTGGCTATGATGATTTTTCCTTGCAAGGGAAACCTGCATCTGCTCTGGGACAGTCCTTTTCCGCTGGCCCCTGAGGAAGAAGGGGCTGCAACAACACATAGGTGTCAAGACAACTCGTCATGGCAACTGCCACATGATCAAGAACTACATCTTTAATGAGAAAAGCCCTTAAAATGAATAGAGCTTTATACAGCAGCATGTTTAAATCAACATAATGCCTCATTATATTTAGCTGAGAGGCACTACTGAGTAAAGCCAAATTCTGCCTCCAAGTTATACTCTAGGACTCCATGCAGAAAGAATGAGAAGATAAGGTTTGGCCTTCTGACTAGGATTTAGAAAATCTAAGAAAACTCCAAAGAACGGTTTTGGGTTTGGTTTTTTTTTTCTTTCCCTACACTTATGAAAATGTAGATGTGACAATGAAAAACAGATTTTGATAATATGATATAGTGATGTTTGCAAACCTAGGGGACCTCCCTGCTGGTAATATCAACAGAAACATGCTGTGAGACTCAACCTAGCTGTCAGATGCTCATTAATACTTCAACTATCCCTCACATATAAGAACTCATTTTATGCCTTTTTTTTTTATTATTATTTTTTTATCCAAAGGAACTCACTGATAATAGCTCAGTTTCAGAGAGCAGTAAATGTACTTTTATAACTTACTCATTTCACTTCAATGAACCCCTTTCTTGAAGTAATCTGCAACACAGCGCAATCCCCGAAACATTTGGATATGACCTATCTTGATTTAGGCGCACAGTTGCTAACAGCAAAAACTGAGAGCTTAGACATGCCATTTCATACTTTAGAAATCATATTTCAGAAGAATGCTAAAGTACTGCAAAGACAAAATTTGTAGAGTGTGTACATCTGTACTATGTACAGTGTCTCATCTGGAAAGTTTAAGCTGCGCAGCTACTGGTATCCAAAGACAGTTAACTGTCTCACCTCCAGGGACTCAAGACAGAAAGGGACACAACCAACTCCTCCAGGAACGTGTTGCCTATTGGAAAGTGTGGTCCCTGCCATAGCCAGTCACTCACGGGGCAAGCCCTGGTACGCTGATGCATACCAACAGATGCCATATACATGTAATAACATACATTAACATTTGGGGTCATATTCTTGGTTCTAAACAAATGCAACCACTCCCATGCTCCCTCAGAAAGCATGAAGTACAACCACATTTTAAAAGACAAAACTGAATAGCCAATAAATGCATTACACTCCCTTGCTTTCAGCTTAGTCTTACCTGCAAGATACAGCTCATGATATCAGATGCAATTTTTGCATGTGGTGCATCCTCATCTTTTCCAGAAGGCTTCAGGTTGTGCTCCAGACACGACTCCCAGAGAGCCACAAGGGCCTTCCCATGCTTTTCTATGGATGCTGTCTCCCTGATGGCAGTGGTGATGCGAGTGATGCAGATTTCCACCACAGCCTGGTCATTGTCATTGGTCTGGTAGTCCTGGTTCAAGAGAAAAGACATTTGCCAATGAACGTCTACCCTTTTCAAGGACCCAACAAAACTAACTTGAAGACAAAGTTTTTCTAACTGTCCACTGTCTATTTTCTCACTTCCACCTTTACAATGAATGGTTACTGTGCTTAAACAGAGAAATTATTCATCCCATGGACAATTCACTGGTTTAGGTTTTAGTAGTTGTTACTGTAAAGTTATTGTGTTACCAAATGATTTTTAGTAGTCTATTTTGAAGCATGGTCTTCTTGAACAAAGACTGCAGCCTCACACCATCGAACTACTCACACAGGACTCTTCTACCATAACTGCCTTAAAACTGAAACTGGAATGGCTATATCCACAATAAATACAGCCAAACGCAGCATCTCAAATATTTCATACCATGTTGATATGCAGAGCAGTTAATGTCATCTACCTGGACTTGTGCAAAGTGTTTGACACTGTCCCACATGACATCCTTGTCTCTAAATTGGAGAGACACCAATTTGATGGATGGACCACTCAGTGGATAAAGAATGGGCTGGATGGCTGCACACAAAGAGTTGTGGTCAACGGTTCAATGTCCACTTGGAAAACAGTAATGAGTGGTGTCTCTCAGAGATCGGTGTTGGGACCCGTGTTGTTCAACATCTTTGTCAGCAACATGGACAATGGAATTGAGTGCAACCTCAGCAAGTTTGCTGACGACACCAAGCTGTGTGGCTCAGTTGATACACTGGAGGGAAGGGATGCCATCCAGAGGGTCCTTGACACGCTTGAGAGGTGGGCCAATGCCAACCTCATGAAGTTTAACCAAGCCAAGTGCAAGGTCCTACACCTGGGTTGTGGCAATCCCAGGCACAGCTACAGGCTGGGCAGAGAAGAGATTCAGAGCAGCCCTATGGAGAAGGACTTGGGGGTGGTGGTTGATGAGAAACTTAACATGAGCCAGCTTCAGTGTGTGCTTACAGCCCAGAAAGCCAACTGTATCCTGGGCTGCATCAAAAGAAGCGTGATCAGAAGGTTGAAGGAGGCGATCTTGCCCCTCTACTCTGCTCTCATGAGGCCTCACTTGGAGTATTGTGGACAGTTCTGGTGTCCTCAACATAAAAAGGACATGGAGCTGTTGGAGCAAGTCCAGAGGATAAGGGGGCTGGAGCACCTCCTTTATGAAGACAGGCTGAGAAAGTTGGGGCTGTTCAGCCTGGAAAAGAGAAGGCTGCGTGGAGACCTCATAGCAACCTTCCAATATCTGAAGGGGACCTACAAGGACTCTTCATTAGGGACTGTAGTGGTAGGACAAGGGGTAATGGGTTTAAACTTAAACAGGGGAAGTTTAGATTAGATATAAGGAAGAAGTTCTTCACAGTGAGGGTGGTGAGGCACTGGAATAGGTTGCCCAAAGAAGTTGTGAATGCTCCATCCCTGGCAGTGTTCAAGGCCAGGTTGGACAGAGCCTTGGGTGACATGGTTTATTGTGTGGTGTCCCTGCCCGTGGCAGGGGGGTTGGAACTAGATGATCTTAAGGTCCTTTCCAGCCCTAACTGTTCTATGATTCTATGTTGAGTTCCTGATGTAAACAGAGTTAGTTTCAATTAGTATCAATGTAACATGAATAAAAGTTAATTAAATAGGCTTTATCACAAAGTCCTGTAATCCCCTGTAATTACTGACACAGATGCCACATGGGTACAAAATGGCAGCACTATGCTGTAACTTAAGCACTAGGAATACACTGTTCCTCAGTCTAACCTATGCTGTTCCACCCTAAAAAGTAACAAAGATGAAAGACAGACTGAAGTATTGAAACTCATTGATTCTGCTAGATAAAGCATGCACATTTTTGAAGGGCTGGAGCCAAGTTCAGCACTAGCTTGCACAAGGTTGGCTCCAGAATTAGCCCTGGGATTCTGCACTGCACTGTGATACAGTATATTGCAGGTGGAAGCCATGATGTTTGGGTCAGCCTCAAGGCAATTTTCTGTCTTTATTCACAGATAGCCCATGCACTTACTAAAGGAAAAAAATAAATAAATAAATAAATAAAAGAACGCACACTTTTTCTTTTGTGTAAGGTTACCTGTTGTTAAAGAGGTGAATATGTTAACAGCCACTGGCTGGGATGGCACAGGAGTGAACCCCTGGTGAGAATCCTGGTCTCTGGCTGTGTGTGGACATGAAGAGCAGAGCGGTCCTGTCCACACTGCTATGGAATTAATCCGTTTGGGGAGAAATACACGTCAAAGCCAAGCTTCAGGAATGGGGCAGCGCTGGAGCAGCTCCCCGATCTCTGGAGCCCTCTGGTGGAAATCTCAGCTCCAGGTAAGGGGATGGCTCTGCGGGACGCTCCAGCTGCTTGGCGCAGGCTGTTGCGTTTGCAAAAACATTTTGTAGTGAATTCCGGCGTTTTCTCTCAAAAAGTATATTAGGGGGGATTTGCGTAAAATTCCTGATAACCTGCAGTTAGATGAGTTGAAGTATATCACAAACAGCAGAAGCAATGGCCAAAATAACTTGATTAATGTTCTGAAGACTGTGCTGATGTAACTGTTGTCAAAGAAATGACTGAAAAGCCAGTGTACAGTGGTTGTCCTGATGGATAAGTCACTTTTTGTAACATCATTCAGAACATTTTCTGCTGCAAACAGATTACACACAATACATACAGTGCATCTGTAACTTCTTCAATATGCCTTAAGTAGCATTGAATAAAAATTGATAAAGATGAAATATCTTTCAAGGAAGTCCAGCTAGTGGGAAATAGATTTGGTTGTCATATTTATAAATATTACACTTTGTTTGGCATTCTTGAGGTTTTTTAGAAACTTGAATTGTGCATGTCCTCTTAATATTTTATTTATGCATTTATTCTCATGAAATATGATTGAGCGTTTCACTTACCGCAGATGAACTAATTATTCTTATTTGTTCAAGAGCTTCTGAGAGGCTTCCTTCAATTTCAGCATCCTCTAATGAGAAAAGATCCCCTGCACGTGAAAGGTCCTTTTGTGCCAAAACCAGCCCAAACAGATGATGCATGGCTGCATTCACTGCCACTCAGCTCGATCTCTGCACGCACCGTGTGCATGAATGATTCAGATGAGGACAGAATGGAAACAATCCTGTGGACTAGCAATCAATCTAATATGAAGAATAAATCTAGGGCATATTTCAAGACTTCCTTGGCCCCAATCTACAAGGAAAAAGAAAAAATGGTGTGAGGGGCAGAATTAATAAATGCATTGACTGTCGTATTCCAGATTAGCAAAGCCTTTCACATTGTGTCTGTAAGCAGCATACAGGATGCCCTGATCCAGGGATATCCTTAAGCACATAGCATAAACTGCATGTTGAAGGACCTTTTTCCCTTAATCACCAAATAGCTTAAAATTAGCTAAACAATATATAACTTCTAATACATAAACCCACGTATTTTTCATTTCAATGCATATTACCTGAGCAGGATAGCAACTAGACTAACTGAACTGCCTTTCTGCAGCTTCTAGCTCCAGCAGGAGAGCTAGAGGAGCTTCCTCTATTTTCTGGGTTGTGTCTTGACTCCAGAAATACACTATTAGCAAGATTGAGACGAAAATGATTTTTTTATTTTTTTTTTTTTTTTTAGAAAAACAGTCAGTTTTGTTGCCAAAATGATCCTTGCAGTCTTTTCAACTCATGTAAAACAAACAGTTGGCTGAGCTGAAGCTATGCATTTCTTGGCTGAGGAATTTATCAAAAGCTGGGCCAAGTGGGCCCAGGCTCAGCACCATGCGCACACTTATGAGAGGACCATCTTACACTTGTGCCCCCAAACTCTGGTGTTTAAAGCATCTGCAGAGGAGACACTTGCCTTAATTATAGGAGAAATTTGGGTTTTCCATATATCTGAAGTGTTATTTGTTGTTGCAAACCTGCCAGGACTTGCCTCATGCTGATGGGTTCCCTCTACCTTTGAGGCAAGAGTCTTCACAGCCAACCTCAGTGCACATGAGAAAGAGACCAACAGCACAAGAGTCCTTCAAGCCCAGAAAATCCCACAGGGCTTGGACACCCTCCTTGAACTTTGCCAGGGCAGGTAAAATTTATGCAAGCAGAAAGTGTCTGTCCTTGAGTCTTCCAAGGGTCTCCATGATGGCCCTAAAAGCAGGAAAAAAAGATAAGGGCCATCCCTCCTCCCTCAGCTCCTCATTGTACTGCACTTCATAAAATCATAGAATGGTTTGGGTTGGAAAAGACCTTAAAGACCACCTGGTTCCAACCCCCTGCCATGGGCAGGGACACCTTCCACTAGACCAGGTTGCTCAAAGCCCCATCCAGCCTGGCCTTGAACACTGCCAGCAATGGGGCAGCCACAGCTTCTCTGGGTAACCTGTGCCAGTGTCTCACCACTTCCATTGCAAAGAATTTCTTCCCAATGTCAAATCTAAATCTCCCCTTTGTCAGTTTAAAGCCATTCCCCCTTGTCCTGTCCCTACATACTCTAGTAAAAGGATCCTCTCCAGCTTTCTTGTAGGCCCCTTTAGGTACTGGAAAGTTGCTCTAAGGCCTCTCTAGAGCCTTTTCTTCTCCAGGATGAACAACCCCAGCTCTCTCAGCCTGTCTTCTTCCATCCTTTCCCACCAAAACTATTCACAGTGACAAAGCAGCTCAGCAAGCTACAATTTCTCAGCCCCAAAGAGCATCTCTAAGTGCAGTGCCCTCCACGGGCTGCTAGCACTTCAGGCAGAGCTGTGAGGGACACGGGGCAGTAGAAGACCCTATTGTTCGCGACCCTACTGAGAAAGGGCTGAACCACTCAGAGGACATTCACGCGCACTCATAGCAGCCATGCTGGCTAGAAGCACGCTGAGCTTCTGCCAGCCAAAGTGGAGACAAATACATACAGTGCCATGGCCCTGGGTAAGTTCAAAGGCACATGAAAAGAGAGATTACAAATGGGAATGCTGTAACCTGTATCCTGGGAAGCTGCTGCACAGCTCAGTGAGCTCACTCCAGAGAAGTTCTGCTCAATGGCCACTTCAAGCTCCCTTTAGCTTTAACTGCATCTGGGCTGGCCATCTTTTAGTACATAAGTGATTATTCTCACTCCTTCAACATGAAGAGTTGTTCCACATCATCAGTATTTTCTCTGCATTGAAGTTTGGAAAGATAAACGTAGCATTGTTCAGAGAAACTGTGAAGTAGGCTGTTGTTTATTACTGGTTTGTGAATCAAAGTATCTTTCTGAAGTAAACATACCTAAATGTAAATGACATACATGTAATATACATATGCATACATATGTCCTTTACGTTTAGGTATGCAATGATCTAAAAGTTTCATCTTAGCTACTAGTGGCTGTCTTTGCAGGAATACAAGATTACAACATTACATCCAGCTGACAAAACTATGACATTAACATAGGCACACTCTGAATACAATATTCATTAATCCGTGAGTTTGAGTTAGCTTCAAAAGTTATGCACTGGAAAAGCAGGTGCTTGAACTGGATCAGTCTTCCTTTGTGCACAATGCTTAAATGACCTAGTCTATGTTTACAATGAGTAAAATTTCACTGTAGCATTATATAGAGGAAACAGAAATATCTGGGATTTGACATATATTACCGAAGTAAAACACAGGAGAAATGGGGATATCATGAAAAATAGGCTATTTGTAATTTGGACAGAATAATGATGAAGAGGTTGGGTGTGACAAACTAAGGCCTTGAACATCACCACATTTTCCCCACAGGCTTGCCTTACATGAACCCTTTCTAGCAGTGTACAGCCACTGTCACCCCAACAGCATGTGCCAAGCAGGGCAGGCAGAAAGTTCCTGCCCGCTGGAGCTCTGACAGCCTGCAGGAAGCTCTGCAAATATGTATCAAACCAAGATGCATCTCGACATGAGAACATGTATTAAAATACTGTCACAAATGAAAACTCTCCCTCTGTCTTTACTTACTAATCTAATATAGAATATTTACTGTTTCTGAGCCCAGGAAGAGATTTACCAAGCATGTCTTCCAGAAGGCCCATGTGGATTCACAGTCAACTCCTCTCTTGAGTCGATGAACAAAGCACTACATTGCCACAAACTAGATCACCTGTAATTATTGAGATACAGAGTATCCTTAATCCCTGTTAACCCATCTCACGCTATTTTTCAGGGGAGAAAGAGAGGGGAGGAAAAAAAAAAACAAAACCAAACCACACAAAAAAACCCCAAAACAAAAAACCAAACCACAACAACAAACAAAAAAAAAAAACCCCAACAGAAAAGACCCACCAAAGAAACCCCAAAACCCAAACAACCAAAGCCCCATAAACCCCACCAAAACAAAAAAAGCAAACAAAAACTCCTAAAAGTTTCAAATAATGGTCAAAAATCAATGCAAAACACTGAGAACCTTCTGGAAACTACTTGATGAAACAGTCTCTTTTCAATAGCATAGACAGCACCTTATGCTTGATCTGCCCAAAGCTTTATTGGAAGGGTTTTTTAATTTTCCCAAATCCATTAAAAGCATTACGCAGGATTTTTAGTTCGATTATTTGCAACAGGACAGAAGGAGAAAAGAGCTAGTAAGATTGCAAACCCGGAAGCAGAACAGGCTACATCCTCTTGGCAGTCACTACGGCATAAATCACCAGTCACCAAACTGAACGTGATAGCGTAAGAACAGAGGAGATAGGTCCATTGTACTCATATGCAGCAATTCTTAATCCAAAAGTAAAAGTTCAAAAAGCCACTGATTTTTTTACCTGTTCATGATTCCATAATGACATTCTCAACGATGGTTAGAGGTGCAAAGCTTGTGCTCTTTAGACAAAGCCTGACCATTTGCTTTGCTCTCCTACTATGCCAGGCAGCATCCAAGGGCACAGCAAGTGGAAAGCCAGGGAATGGGGTGGCAAGCAGTGAACCTGAAACTGTTAGTTGCAGTGCCAGGAGTAAGGCATTTCAGGAATGCAGACTAAAGCAGCCTAAAAGTTACCAATGGCTCTGTCAGGTGACTACAGGAACCTAAACACAGAGAAGCCTTATCTCTGAATGAAACGCTCTGTTACTAGGACAAAATACAAAGCTTACTCCACTTGAAGGCAGTTGTTTTTAATAGAGAAAACAGAAGTCTCTGTATTAGTGGAAAGCTATCCTTCCTGAGAATAAGGTAGAAAACAAAAAACCACCTCAGTAAACTCACATTGTTTGAAAGAAAAAGAACAAGTGAGCAAACTTGCTATTATTCTGTAGCATTTTACATTAATACAAAGGGGGTCTGAACTTTACTTTGGCATTTAACATTACTATCATAAGTAGCACAACAAAATCCGCACACATAATTTGGAACACAGCTCTAGGAAGAAGATCAGTTTGAACCCTCCCTTGGATCAGTTGCACTGAAACACAGCAGCCCCTTCTTGGCCTTTGGGCATCTTCAGAAGAGTTTTGCAGAAAGACCCTGTTCTCTTTCTGATGAACAGACCCTTTTTTGTATAAGTTTTTTAGACAACACTAAGGACAATACAGACAAATATTTACTTACTATAAGCTCTTTGAAATGGAATTATAGAAAATCTTCTTAATACTTACATTGTGTAACAGTGCCTAAAATACTTTTCTTGCATAGGTTTTAAAAGGACAAAACTGTCCTCTAAGCTTCAACTTGCACACTCTAAGATTGTACTGTTTCCTATTAATAGGTAACTGGCACTGAGGAAAAGAAAAGACATAAGATGTATATTCTAAAAAAAAAAAATAAATTAAAATTTGACATTTTAAGGGCCACGTTGCATGATAAAACCTCTTCAGTGTATGGTTCCCAAGATGCCTCATCACCTTGACTCCACATCACCTACCAGTATCTTCTCATTCAGATAGGACATAGATTACCATATCAGCATCTGACACAGATGAGACTTACATTTGTGTCACATGTACACAATGGAAGAGGCAAAGGGGAAAAAAAGACAGCTTACAACACAGGCCGTTTCCACTGATTTGCAGTGAAGTGCCACATCTAATTCAAAGTTTTCAAACTGATTTTCAACATCTAG